GGCCGATGTCGACAGGTGCGTCAGTGACCTGTAAAAGTTGAGGGGTCGAATAAGTAGGGATAATTTCGGAATTAGACGGAGATACGGATGAGGATGATAGGTAGCCGAGCGCGTAGGTTAGCAACAGGATGACCAAATAGGCGGTAAGCTTGGAAGCGGCGGAGAGGACGACGGCGACGGCGGCCTTGCGGCGGTTGGCTTTGTCCCTCATGATTGTTAGAGATAATTTTTGAGAGGGAGTTTGAGAATAAAAGGAAAAGTCAAAGCCTTTATAATAATTATTATTTTCTTTTGTTGTTATTTTTTATGTATTTGTTAAAAAAATAAAAATAAAGGATAAAATTAAATATACACATTTCAAAAGTTTGAATGTAGAAGAACAAATATTTAATTAACTTGACAAATAAAATAATATACTCTCTAAATTTAATAAAGGGTAATAATTGGAATTGTAAGTCAGTTTATTGGTTACATATTTTCTATATAAACAATTATATATCAAAATAAAAATATTCCAAATAAATAACTAACTAAATATATATTAACAAAAGTCAACCTACATTATCAACCCCAATATTCAAATTTTAAATTCATTAATTTACTCGAAAAACATTCTTTCATGTTCCCTCAATTGGTCGGATTTAATTAATTAATTACCTATTTTACACTTTTCCTAATTTTTTAAAAATAAAAACCACTCCGTTTAAATTTTTTCTATTTTCTCTCATTTCAATCCATCTCTTATATGGAAAAATGTTCCTTTAAAAAAATTAAACTTTTTTAGTTAATTATTATATCTCATTTCAATATATTTATAAGACCGTGCAATTAATGGATAAGTAACTATTTATTCAACGATACTTTAGTCTACCAGATTGTTTGTTCGTTGGGTTGAGTCAAGTTTGAAAAAACAAACTATTATTAAATAATTAATCCAATTCAACTCAATTATAATTTTTTTAAAATTTTTGTTTTTAATATAGGGAAAATATTACTCATAAAAATATTTATTTCTTTGTTTTAAAATATTTAGTTAAAGATTTATAATTGAATTTCAATACATATTTTAAAATATTACTTTCCAATAAAAATTATTTTCATTGGTCGAAGAATAAATAATAAAAATTTATGAAATTAAATAAAAATAAAATAAAATAAAATTTATACAACCATCATCCTCAATTGACTATCTTCTAATATTAAATTTTTTTAGCAAAATAATAGCATAAGATATAGTTATAAATATTGTCACAAGTAAACCATCAACCACCTTTTTTTTTTTTTTTTTTTTTTAATAATGCTTCTGAATCTTAGCCTTAAAAAATACAATTGCTAATTAAATTTTTGTGCCCCAAGGTTTCTTAAACATTGATTAATCATGGCTGTAATTATAAAAGATTATTAGTAATTACTTATAAGTACGAACAATGTCGTTAAGAAGTTTAATATTATTTGCTCATTATTAAATATAAATGTCAATATTTGAAATATATTTTTTTTACCTTCTCTTGTTGATGATGTTGGCTCGAAATTTAGGCTCGAGTTCACGTCCACAACGTCCAATTTTGATGGTCTTAAATACATCGATATACTTTATTTTATAAATTTATCTAATTCTCGAGTTTACCAGATACATATGTTTTATTAAATGATGAGATGGCAACCTTGATTATAAATTTTTTAGGGTGAGGTTTTTCGAGTCACCTAATATATTTAATTAAAATTTAACACCTAATTTGAATATATATTTTAAAATTTGAACATTTAAAGTTATTTTTTTATTTTATTTTTAAGAGTGATGGAAGAATAAATAATAAAAAAAAAAGAACTATAAAATTAAATAAAAACTAAAATAGTTAATTGACTTTTTTATTTTGCTTTTGGGCCACAAATTTTCTGAAAACCCAAAAGAAGACCTCCAATGCCCAACTTGGTGTTGGCCACAAACTAAGAACCATGTGGACTGCCTTCTCGACCTCACCGAGCCCGTCCTGCTGCCGCCTCCCGCTGCCAACCAGGCCGCCTCCGACGCCTCCGGTCTCCGCCATCTACGCGAAGGCTCAGCCACCCGAAACCGACGCCGATAACGCCACACCAAACAACAGTACCAGCATCAAAAGCTTCGGCCACAAAATTCTCTCGGCCGCGAACTCCACAAATCCCAAATCCCGCAGCCCCATCCGAAAACAGGAATCGCAATTGGAGACTGCCCAAATTAGTGGGTTAGATGTTCTGAGGGCACTGCAGAAGGCGGCCGCCGTGAAGGAGAAAAACAGAACCCGACAAGGGAAAGAACAGAAGAAAGACGGGCCGCCTCCCACCGAAGGGAGCGGCTCTGATAACTCTGAGATGAACCGTAGAGTGAGGCCTCTGAGAATCAAGAACGATTGGGGCTTGAGACTTACTGAGTTGGAGAAACGCCTTCAGGAGATCTCTGAAACGGTTTGATGATTCTTTCATTCTCTTTTTATTAGAATTGTCAATGAATTGTATATGCATATGTAGTGTTTATTAGAATTGTCAATGAGTTCCCAACATTTGAATATGAAACCATGTTAAATCACTGCTAGATATATGACTTTTAATATTGTATGCACATTCTTTATGGCACTCCTCCATTTGGAAACCCTTCTGAGCTTTGTTCTGACTGTTGAAACAGATGAAGAACTACTACTTCTTTGTCATGGTTAGTGTCTCTTTCTTGTTGTGCCTGTTGGGTTTTGTTGGGTTTTGTTGAGGATGGTTGGTGGAGAGTCTTACATCGGCTAATTAAGAAGAAGTTCATGGATTTATAGCAAGAAATACTATCTTCATTGGTACGAGACATTTTGAGGAAACCAAAAGCAAAGTCATGAGAGCTGATGCTCAAAGTGAACCCATCATACCATTGGGGAGGATCGTAGTTACTCGGTGTCTCATAGAAACCGTAGGTCACCCACCTTAATAATTTCTGCTCACCCTATGAGTCTTACAAAGCTTCCAAGACCCATCTCTAGAAGAACTCTATATAGATAGAGACTGAACTGACAGAATCTTGCCATAACATGTGAGCCCAGAAATGATAGCCATATGATTCCCAAGCTTCCTAGGACTAGATTGTATCTGCTTTCTACATTCGTGAAACAGATAGGAAGGAGGCAATAGGGAATTATAATGGACAAAGAAGAAACAAGTCCAAATAGGAATGAGTGTCTCATCAAGCTGCAGGAAGAGTCCTTTGCTTCGGACTTAAATACGAGATAGAGGTAAGTAACAAATGTTGAGGATTGTTGGGAGAGGAGTCCCATATCGGCTAATTAAGGGACTGATCATGGGTTTATGTAAGGAATACATCTCCATCCGTACGAAACCTTTTGGGAAGACAAAAAACAAAGTCACGAGAGCTTATGCTCAAAATTGACAACATCATACCATTATGGAGAGTCGTAGTTTCGAACATGACATCAGAGCTATACTCTTAACTTAGTCATGTCAATAAAATTCTCAAGCGTCGAAGAAAAAAGTTGTGAGCCTTAAAGGTATAGTCAAAAGTGACTCAAGTGTAGAATAAAGGGTGCTCTTTGTTCAAGGACTCGATCAAGTGGGGACTATTCGAGTGTTCCATAAGACCTCAGGGGAGGTTCCATAGACCATTATGGAGAGTCGTAGTTTCTAACAACAGAGTGACGTAGCTTTAGAGATTCAACCCTTGTTATATTTTCTTGAACAAGATACACTTGATGTTTTTGTTATCAATAGCATAAATCTCTGGAAACTTTTATGGGATCGGGGATCGAGTCTTCTGAACATGGTCTTAAGTTATTGTTTAGACCAAAGTCATGATACTCTTTTATGAAATCAACTTATGCATACATTGTGCTCCTTCTTTTAGCCTCAAATCACGGTTATAACAACATTATAATCTGTTCCAAAACTGCATAGTAATAGATGATGCACTCCTTGGATTTGGGGATCTCTTTAATCTTTCTTGGTGCGCTCGAAGAGAAACTGTTACTTTACAGGTTTGTTTAAATTATTGTTAATTTAAACAAATCTTTGAACCCTTTTATGCCTGCAATAACGTGATCCTGTTTTGGTGGAATTCTCCTTACAATTGTTTCCATTTTCTTCTCTGATCAAGTCGTAAAAAAATTTCCACTGACAAAGATAGATATATGTAACTCTTTTTTAGAGTTTGATTTTTTTTAGAGTTTCAATGTAATTTGATTTTTTAGGTTTATTTTTATGGTAGGTTTTAATAATATTCCTAAACTTTCGTAAGTCAGTTTCAAAATAACCCTTTTGCGAAGTTTTCAGCTAGAATGAAGGTGGAGAGAGATGTGGCACAGGTGTATGTTTCGATTATCAATGTTGCTCGTGAACTTTAGTGCATGCTTCAATATTTTCAAACCTTTAACTTTTGCAATTGTTTGAAAATAACCATTGTTTTTGTTTTCTAGTTATGAGTCGGAGAAAGACACCAAATAATCCTAGTTACATTCAAAACGAAGCTGTATAAGGATGGGAAAAAATTGGAGATTATGGCAAAATATCGTTTCCTTACCCATTAAAAAGAATTTGGGGGAAGTTAACATTGTACGAGTAAGTTATCCACAAGGGAACGGGATTCCCAAAACATTAGGATGTGACTCTTTTTCTTTATTGCTCTTCTACCGTCCATCAATAAACACTTTCAATTGACTTTTCTCCTACCCACTAGGGGCATAAATGAAAGATGAACCTAAATCAAGTATACTATCTTTTTTAAGTCATCGTCACATCATTTTTCCGTCTTCCTTTAACGGAATAATTGACAGAAGCATTATCTTGAAACAAATTTAAAGTTCGTAAGTTTAAGATAGTGAAACTATTGAAAATAAAATTAATCATCCTTAATGAGAAGCATAAACACTTTATGGACATTTGGACGCGCTGACACTTGTTGTACACATATTGATCTCTTGTTAGTGCAATAGATGTGTTAGACATTATTTGTACTAAGCCAAAAAGTAGGCCCGACGTTTGTTTGAGATGCACCAAACACCAAACACTCCGATAAGCATATGAAAGAAACAAAAATAATACAATTTAAGAGGAATGTTAGATTCTTAGAATGAAAATTAAGAGAAGAAAATTATTACATTCCCCAACTGTGTGGATTTGTTTATCATCTCAGCCACCTCCTGAGATCAGTGGTTGAAGATGGAGAAACCTCTCCTCCATAGCTCTCTGTATAGCAAGATGAATAGTTAGACTGATCCTCCAGCCCACCATACCTTCCATAAGCACTCTTAAAACTTGGACTCTTCATCTCATTCCCATGAACACCACCACACCCCACCATTCTACTGTATGGATCTGGCGGTACTGGAAACGATAGCCGTTTCCTTGCAGTCCCAACTCGTTCCCTTTCCGGAGTTGCAGGCCTTTGCCTCGGCGCACTCTGCGACCGGACTCGAGCCTTGGCCGACTCTGTTGCAGCCATGTAATTAGGTAGTGAAGTTTCACCATAACCACCCCCTTTGTGATGTTGATGTTTAGACCTGAAGCTTGGCGTTTGAGGTGTAATGTGGTGGCTAATTTGGTTTCTGTCTTCTCTGTTGTAGCGAGGACTCGCCGACCGAACTTGCTGGACCGGTCGGGATTTTGACGGGGATGGGGTGATGGGGATTTGGCTGTGATGGGCTCTATGGAGTGGGGAGGAAGATGGAAGCATGTTTGATCTTTGTGATTGAATTTGGTAATTGGAAGTGTGGAAATTGTTGGGAGACAAGTAAGTGTATGGTCGAGAGGTGTCAATTTCAAGCGTTTTAAGTGGCTGTGGTCTGTTATCAGTGGAAGCTCTTGCCCTGCTCTCCCATGGCTTCTTAGCCATCCAATGATCCAGCCATTTAGATCCTTCTTCAAGCTCCATTTGGTTTCCTATTGATGGGCTCCTTCCAGTCCTCCATATCTAAAACAAGTTTAGTATTCAAAACATAACAATTGTTCATTATAAACAATGAAATGAGATATGAATTCAAACCTGTTGAGAAAAGGATTGAGATAAAATATTGTCACGATTCAAAGCAGAGTCTCGTCTGTGTTGTAACATTGCCTTAACTTGTTCAACAGTGTGAGCACGTTCATCCCAGTCATCTGTAACGCTGCTACCTTCTCTTGATACACATTTGTCTTGAACATAGCGAGATTCATAGATGCTGTTGGTCTCGCTAAAGGTGGACCGTCGGCTGCCTTCAAGGGAGAGCCGCATACGGTGATCCAACACTTTCTCTTGTACTCTAACCAATGCTTTGATGCACTGCAGGGTTGTCTTCGCTTGTTTCCTTACATTATGGCCTCTCACCAAAGCCTGCAACTTCACCAGCCCCTTCAGTGCCCGTAGAGCCCTCCTCGCCTTTCAAAATTCAAAAGTTAAGAAGGGTATCCATTCACATTATGACAAATTTACAGAGTTGAGAGCTCACCAGATATCCTCTAAAGGCGGTTTGAATGAGAATGGCAGAGTAAGAACGGCGGTCCAATGGAGAAGCAGGGGAAGGGCTGGTGAGGTGAAGAGGTTGTGCAGCCGGTCTGGCATGTTTGTGGTCAGTGGGGAGAGGCGGTTGGAGTGGAGGGAGTGGCTCCGGCGGCTGAGATGTTGGTTTTCTGAAAAGCCAGCGGCGTTTCTCCCGCCTCTGCAGAAAGTAGGATGAATGAGAAGGAGAAGAAGAAGGAGATGAAAATTAAAGGGTACCTTTTGTTCATCGTCTTTAGTGGGAGATCTGAAAGCCCTTTTGACGGCGGTGAGCCATGAGCTACCTCCTCCTTTCTTCCCCATTGAAAAGGAAAAATGGGATGTTCAGAAGAAAGATTTGGAAGCCATAGAGTTAAAGGCTCTACTGCTTCATCTGCTGCTGAAGTTGAGATGCAGCCAATGAGAGTGACATAGAGACGTTAGAATTGATGTGGGAATCTCAGACTCAACACAAAAACACACAAATTTTAAAATATATTTTATACAATCAGTAATTGAGCAATGAATGAGAGAGTAGTGAGTTATTATTGTTATTATGATATATGTTTTGATGCGTTGGGTTTGTTGTGTTGCAGAGGGCATAGGGAAAGGGGTAATGACGGTGTCAGAATCTGTGAGATAGATTCACACAGATCTTTCATCCAACGGACACCATAAATTATATAAATCAAAATAAATAATTAATTTTTTATATTTTATTTTCAAGTGGATGATTTTGTTTAAATAAAAATAAAATATAATTTCTGGTTTCTATTTCCTCAAGGTGAAAAGTAGGCACGTGGTGTCACGTGCAACGAGCAGCGCAAGAGTGGGGGTAAGTAATTTAGTATTTGGGGCAGTGAAATGACGTGGAGGCGGGGACCACTTTTACGCACCTAACCACATGCCTCTCTTGTACGCTTGCACTCAAGTTAGTCAATGTCTTTTTATGTTGACTGCCACGTGGCATTCCAGTTGCTACCTGCCATTATTTTCTTTATTATTGTTCTTGCCTTTTCTGTTTATAATTTACAACGGACAAGCGGGCTCCGTACAATCATTTTTCACTTCTATTAAAACTTATAAAATATAAGTTTCAATTTCATCGTTACTTATATTTCATTTCTTTGTTTTTTTAATGTCTACTAAAATAAAAAACAAAACAGAAATATCTCTTTTGTCCTCAAACGACAACGAGAAATAATGAAAATGGCGTTGTAGAAAAGAAAAAAGATAGAGCGATACACAGTGATACGTACCATCCGTAGCGACGATGAAGAAAAATAATAGGATTTTATTGTAATTATTAAAGATATTTAGTTCTAAATTATGGTTTACTATATATATATAATATTTGACCATTTATTATAAGCAAATATCTCGTGTGATATTTAGTTTTCTGTTACGGTTTATCATAGGTATCATATTAGTCATTTTATTATAGTCAAATATCTTGTATTCATTCATCGCTCTATCTATTTTCTTTATACTTTATTTGATTCTATAAATGATTATAAATAGAGAATTTCACCCATGTAAGTTTAATGGTTTTAGCAAATATTCTAGGTGATTATTCTTCAAATCATACATTTACATATAAGTAAGACACGACCTCGTCATAGCTCAAACTCATAATTTATCAATCGTGACACAACATTATATATGGAATTAGTTGGTGACTCTCTATTAGTAAAGTCTAATGATGTTACGAAGAGATAAGTAAATTAGAGTACTAAGACAACTAAAAAAATAACCATCCTACCTCATATATTACAAAAGAAACATGAGATCGTTAGTCTCTTCTTTAATTTGGATGACCTAACTCACGTCGCAGATTTTGAGTCCTTACACGTAGACGATGGCCTAAATTACGAGAAAAGATCAATAAGAATTTTAGCTTGAGAAGTGGAGGTCTTCGGTTTTTACGGATGGAAGAGATGAGGGAAAAATACTGTGAGTAATCTCAAGTTATTTATATAAGCATTAATGTTATTATACTTCACAAAAATCTCTAAGACCCCTGAAATACATTGGTATATGATTATTATTATTATTTATTATTAGTATTAAGTTAGAGGTAGGAAATTGAATATAAATAAAGAAAATAAAAAGATTTTGGGCTTGCAGGTCCAAAATGGCAAAACCGTAATTAAAATCTTAAAGGTGTTGGGCTTTAGACCCTTCATGTAACCATTAATAAACACAAAGCAAAGCAAGCTCTAAATAGTATGGTCACATGTTGGCCACACAAAACAAAGAAAAAAAACATCTCCTAAACTAACATGATTAGACTAAAAAAAAAAAACCAATTCTTTAGCTACTTTAGCGGCTCGACGAATTACTCGAGATTTCTAATTCTTTTAACCTGTAGGCTTTCTACCTCTCCCGACATTATTCTATTAGGGCTTTCACTATAGGAATTCGGGCGATGTGGTCGATCATCCTCTTGAAAGGAAAGATCTCAAAGAATCAATCTTTCATATAGTCGTTGAATCTCTCTTGAGACCGTAATGATTAAATAAACCAAGATTTTACAATAACTATAGTATTAGAGAGACGCAACAACGTAAAGCTTATGTTTATGTAACTAGATAACGAGCACTGAAAACCATCTTCACATTGGATGATTTGATGTTTTGATGAAGTTGTAAACGTAGATAAAGAGTCAATTTTATGAACTTCTAAACATAGTGAAAAGGCAAAACAGTAGAAGGAGTTACTCGAGTACGTTTACGGTCGGTAAAAAGTAAAAAAGGGGGTAAATAAGGCAGAAGAAAGTGAGGTAGCAGTGTTTATTTTTTAAAAAAATTCCATATGGTAGATGAGATACCAATACGATTGCCTGCTGGTAAAATGTAAAATCAAGATTTTCCAGCGGCTTGTTTTATTGATAGAACAGCAAATATTAGGAGAGAAATAATAAATTAATAAATAAATAAATAAAAGGGAAACAAAATAATTATATTGCATGTGAATATATTAATTTCCATTTTGGTGTGAGGAGTTTCTCTTCATCAATTCCATTTATACCAACAATCACTTTCTAAAGGAACCAAATTTCAACTTATTTCCAAACACTGACGTTTAAATTCATAATTAACCCTTCTAACATAATTAAGGAAATTTGTAATATTCTATTATTTTCAACAAAATAATAGTAATTAATTAATAATAATAATAATCATAATATATATATATATATATTTGACAGAGGAGAATTTGGGATATAATACTCCAAAAAGCCACCCGTTAAATAATTGGAGTTCCTTTAATAAATTAATTAATTAAAAAAAAAAAAAAAAAGAAAATTGTAATAGAATCCAAGCCATTGTCAAAAATATATTCCCATGCATCACATATTTTTATTTGTGTTCGTCCCATCTAAAGGGCCCTGAAAGCGCAATCCCTACCCCATCACCTTTTTTCTTGTTGCGGTGGTTGTGGATGCCTCCCTCTCCCTCTCTCTCCTAAACCCCCCACAAATTCAACCACTTTAATTATTATTTTTTTTTTAAAAAGGGTTAATTTCCTATTTTAATTCTTCCCACCCGTCTCAGAATTGAGTTGAAAGATTTATGAACTTAATCCAACTCAACCCATGTACACGAGTAGCGAGTAGAGGTGAGGTGTGTAATAGAAGAGGACGGAGACGGAGAAGGGAAGGTGAGTGGTTGTTTGAGGGGTGGTTTTCGGGGGAGATATTAAGGTCGAGTGTCGTAGTTTTTAGACGTGTCCATGCGCCCTTCCCCTCCCTTTTTCTCCTCTCTGTATGGGACCCATTTCCGTGTTGTAATCATATTCTCACACCCTTCCTTGCTCTTCTCCAAGCATCATACTAAAACTACACTTGCTTCAACTATATATGCCAACCCCTCTCTGTTTCCAAACAAAAACATAACACACACCCAAATGAGTATCTCCGTGAATGGCCACTCCCAAGTCCCTCCCGGCTTCCGCTTCCACCCCACCGAAGAGGAGCTCCTCCACTACTACCTCCGCAAGAAGCTCTCCTTCCACACCGTCGATTTGGATGTCATTCCCGATGTCGACCTCAACAAGCTCGAGCCGTGGGACATCCAAGGTACGTATCTCATTTTCTCCTCTCATTTTTATTGCCTTTCCTCCTCTCATTCAATTACACTTTCTAGAGAAATGCAAGATCGGAACCACTCCCCAAAACGATTGGTACTTTTTTAGTCATAAAGATAAAAAGTATCCCACCGGTACTCGCACCAATCGCGCCACCGCTGCTGGCTTCTGGAAGGCCACGGGTCGTGATAAAGTCATTTACACCAACTCCCGCCGAATTGGTATGAGAAAGACTCTTGTTTTTTATAAAGGTCGCGCCCCTCACGGCCAGAAGTCTGATTGGATCATGCATGAATATCGCCTCGATGAAATTTCCACCTCCCAATCCAGTAATGTATGTCTGTTTGTCTTATCTCGTTAAGAATTAGAAACATAAGTGGGATTTTCTTGGATTCCAGTTCTGTTTTCCATTCTTAACATGGTATCAGATTAGAGGTTGTTATTGTTAATGTATCTCTAAATGGTTCGGTTTGATTTAGATTAAGGCGTCGTCGAGCGGTGTGATTGGAGACGGAGGACAAGAAGAGGGGTGGGTTGTGTGTAGGATATTCAAGAAGAAAAACCACCACAAAACCCTGGACAGCCCTGTCAGTACTACAATTACCGAAACACCCTCCTCTCTCTTGCTTGATTCTTGCAATGACGGAGCGTTGGAGCAAATCTTTCATTACATGGGTCGAAGCTGCAAGGACATAGAAGACGGAGACGGAGACGGAGACGGAGACGGCGGCGGTGGGAGATTGCTCAGCCCCATCGACACTTCCACTGGCGGTAGTTACCTGGATGGCAGATTCTCCAAACTTCCAAACCTCGAAAGCCCCAATTCCACCAGCACCCACAACTGCCACCAACCCATTAACAACCATGTGGGCCCCACCGATCCGATTCTAATTTCCGGCTACCAACTGGAGTCCTCTTCTGCCGCCGCGGCTACAGCTCCTCACAACTGGGCGGCGTTCGACCGGCTGGTGGCCTCGCAACTGAACGGCCAAATTGAAGTGTCCAATATGATTTATTACAATGACCAATTACCAACTCCACCAACACTACGCGGAACGACATCGTTTTCGTCCAAATCATCCTCCTCTTCTTACACCGCCGCCGCCGGTCAGGATTACAACAACGTGGACACAGAGCTGTGGAGCTTTGCGAAGTTGTCGTCATCCCTGTCGTCGTCGTCTGACCCATTATGCCACGTGTCCAACACTCCAATATAGCTGCTACTGAGAATCATCCACGCGAAGAGAGAGAAAGAGAGAAGAATTTGAAGACAAGGTTTTTAATTAATTAATTAAATATTTACGTATGTGATGAATAATAATAATAATAATCATAGTAATAATATAGACTAAACTATCATAATTCATGTTACATAAATAAATAAAAATTCAAAAAGTAAATGGGTAATCAAATTCAAGAGGGTTTTAGTTGGGTCACACTCTCAAACTCCAAATTATTTTCTCTTTTTATTATTCATCTTATCGAGACATTTTTTCCAAAATTATCAACAGATTCACTGGAATCTCGAAAGATTCCTGTATATATAAATAAGAAGAACAAAATCATGTTCCAGCCATTAGTAGAGCTCTATACGAAGAGAGTATTAGACGAATAGATGATAGATGACAGTTTAAGGAGAGATTGAAAATGGATATTAAGTATGTGGAGGACACGTGGTTTGTCGAGTTATAATAAGGAAATAGGGTAGCGAAGGCAAGGGCATGAAGTGGTATTGAGTGCAAAAGAAAGGAAGGGCTCCACTTCCCTCAACATGAATGACTGCCCAGAAAAAGGGTAATGGGACGTACACCAAAAAGGAAAAAGTTGTTTTTTGATATCAATCCTCTTTCTGTCTCCACCTATATTTTTCTTTATTTTCTTTCTTTATACATGCAACACAATCAAAACTTCTCAAATTTATGTAAATATATTTTTATAACATATGGATCAAAACTTTGGTGTTAACACTTCTCTTTTTATAAATCAAATAATTGAAAAAATTAATATTTCACAACATAATCACATGCGACTTAATCTTAATCCATAGTGAATTATGAACTTTTGTTTGTGAGGACCTGTACCTTAATTGCATAGGTGAGAGTAACTTTCGTAGCCTATTCAATAAGCATACCATGATTAGTTCCAGGTGTTAGATGAACACGACTATCCACAATGGTATAATATTGTCCACTTTGAGCATAAGCTCTCATGGTTTTGCTTTGTGCTTATCAAAAAGGCCTCACATCAATGGAGAGAGTATTATTTGTTTATAAACCCATGATCATTCCCTAAATTAGTAGACGTGGGACTTTCATCATCCAACACCTCCCCTCGAACAAAGCACGCCTTCCCTTAATTGAGGCTCGACTTCTTTGGAGTCTTAGTCATTTTTTACTGCCTTCGAGGAAGCTTGACTCCTTTTTCTTTTAGAGTCCTTTGTTCGACATTTGAGGATTTACCAATCTATTGACACAACTAAGTTTAGGGCATGGCTCTGATACCATGTTAAGAAGGAAAAATAAAATTGGGATCGAAGGTGTAACAAACATAGGTGGATACATTCGATCCCAATTTTATTTCTCATTCTTAACACCTCGGACTTAATAATGTGGCCCCACCCTCTTAGTAGTCCACGAACGACTAAGTTTATGGTTAGATCATAAACAAATTATTCAGTAGAGAATCACAAACAAACCTCTACAGGTGAGAGGAGTTAAGTCGAGAAGAAGGCTAGTTTGTTTTATTTTTTTATCACATTCATAATCTAATTTGGATTATTTAGATTCTAAAATGTGACTAGAAGTTGAGAAAAAATTTTAATATAAAAAAAGCAAGTAAGATCACATAATACAAAATTTGTTCATTAACAAACTCGTAGGTTTTTGTTTTTTTTTATTAATTCATAAACAAACTAATTATTTAAAAGACAAATAAAGGAAAAATAGGCTATAAAATAAGAAGTAGGTTATTGTTATTTTAGTAGGAGAGAGAGAGAAGAGAATCCAAATTTGAAATAGAAGATGATCCATTTTTATTAATTTAGGTATGCTGTATACTATTAATTCCTTTCTTCAACTGATTCGTGCGGTTTCTGAAAATTAATAAAAATGGTTCTCAACTTTTTTAAGAAATTTAGAACCTTACATATCCCTCCATCCATTTTTAAAAATATTGGGTTAATGCTCAAATTAAGCTTTTAATTCAATACAATTATTGGTTTGCTAATGCGGGAATATCTCGTTCATATGCTATTTGATGCATATGATACTCGACTCGTAATAAGAAAATTCGACCTATACTCATCAATAAATACTAGCATGCTCAAAATTAACCTTCTAAAAATCGTTGGAATATGTATTAAACTAAATTAAAATACTTGAAAAGAGTGGTGTTCATGCGATTCAAGAACTCGACCAATCTAGACGACTCCAATTTTTTTGAGGTTGGATTGAAAAGTCTATTCGAATGTGTCCCGCTCAAACAATTGGTTACGTATATTTAATTTAAGAAATAATATAGAAGAGGAATGAAAAACGACAAAGGAAGGGAAGAGAAAAAGAAAGAGTGGGTGATTTGTAAAGGAAAGGAAGAAAGGAAAGATGGAGAGGAGAATTTGACCATAGCAACAACCGCCAATACAAAAAAAGTGAGTTTCCCCTTTTATTCACTATCTCATTACCAACCATCTCTACACGTACGCCTCTCTTCTTTCTTGTCCTCTCTCTCTCTCTCTCTCTCTCCCATTATTTGTACTAAATTATTGCTCTTTTTTTTTTAGGTTTTTTTTTAGGCATAAATTTCAAATTTAAATTTTATAGATCAATCCGTTCTTCTCTAGGATGAAGTGTTGTGTTGTCTCCTTGTTCTCCTTGGAATTATCCTATGTACCATAGGAATTGAGCACCTGGCTGGTCTTTCTTAGGTACATTCTAGATGCTCCTATGACTTTAGTAAACTTCTACCGGAAAGCTTAATAAGTTTGATAGTAGTGTGAATGGTGTTACCAAAGTTTCTATCTTCTATCTCCACCAAGAAGCCCTTAGCACTAGCAACGTCCATCCAAGCAGGAGGAATATAGGTACTATCGAGTCAGACCTAAACTGGATAGTGTAGCACGTTGAGGTGACTAGGTGCTTTTTATCTTGTGGAAATGGCCAGAGGTCTCTTGAATATGGCTTTTGCATTGTAAACCTATCCTGAGTACGGTGTAGGACCACGTAGGTGACCTAGTGTTGGCAAGCACACATGATTGCACGATCACACTTAGAGTGACTCTATGGCCCTGTTGAAGATTCATTTAGTTAACCCTCCATAGATGATGCTCAGACCAACAAGATGTCATATTGTCCTAACAAATTTTATGAGGTAGCGCCTCAACCTGAGATATCGGTCATTCACTATTGTGGGTATGCAACCTCATTAAGTCTAAGAATTTAAAAGTTAGTTCACCCTAGAGATGAGATATGTCTTCTAGTAGATCTGTAGTGTCAAGAATCGGTGAACCACCCCAGACCTAAAGTGGGTTCGTGAGCCACATGAGAACCGGTTGGAACTTTGAGGCCTTCCCAGAAGCTCAGATAGCTGTAGAATTAAGCCAAAACTTCATAGAGCTTAGAGAAAATCCCATGAAAAACCTACTAAGTATTTGATGCGATGAGAGCATACAAGTAGGCTGCTTATTGAGTATATTTATACCTACCCCATTCTACCTTTCTTTTCTAGGTATTTGTTACTACCGGTCGAGGTAGGGGAGCGTTTGGGAGTTGTGCAGTCACATAAGGGGCCATTTTGGGGCATCAATTCATCTATGTATTTTGATTGAAATTATATCCCAAAACCATTTTCTGTTCATAATAAACTCGAACAACACCAGCTTGTTAGTAGATTTCGATTTGTTTTTAATTGTGGTGTTGTTTGCTTTAAATTGCTTAATTTTTTTTTTTTCATATTTTATTGTTTATATTTTTTTTTATTTTTATTTTTTATTTTATTTTTAAGTCAGGAGCAGAAATTTGAAGTCTAAAAAATTGGATATTAACAAATTGGTATAAGAGCAGTGGGTTTTAGGCCCGAGAGATTTGCTTGGTAGAGAGTCATACACCTTTGGGCTTAGCTAGATGACACCTCGCTTCAACCAAGTATATAGCTTAAATATGCAAAGTAGTATATGGAATAATATAAGTCCTATATGAACCCAATGTATAATTTAGGTTATATAGTTGAGATATTAAATTACAATAGCGTTCTAGGGCAGTAAAGAGTAAACGTTAACCCTATAAGACGAAGTTATATTTGAGTTATAGTGTTTTGATATGGTGATGAGTCCAAAAGGGGTTTTAAAATAGCATGTTAACCTTAAGAAGACAAAGAACTGGCACGGTAGAGAGCGAGACGTCCAACCAATAGATTTAGGTATGAGATACCTTAAGACCTTGTGCTAGATTAGCATATACCCAAGACCTATCCTCCCATGACCATAACTATGGATGCTAGGTATGCATTCGAGCAAATCTTGTAGTAGACTTAGACAGGATAGTTCGCTTAGGCCATGGCAATCATCAGAGGAATTAAGCACTTGTTGAGCATACCATTATCTCAAGAGAGATTTGGATATGTTGGCATATCGAAATATCAAGATTCATAAACCTTGAGAGACGAGCTATGGAGATCATGACTGCAAGGCTTTGAATTCAGTTTTCATAGATTAAGTTTAAGATTTTGGACTTCGAGAAGTGTGATAGATGCATAATGTCATTTGAGTTATATAGTGATAGACATTCTTGATAAAGGATTGCTCAAGAGATGGCAAAGTGAAGGGTGTGGAATCTTCATGGTAGATTAGTGAACCTTAGGGTCGAGAACAATAGTAAAAAGGTGAAGCTATGGTCCACTCTACCACCATCTGGAAAAAGGAAGGACTAGGTGTCGTGATGATAGGAACATACTCTTGTCTAGGTTATCTGTGTTAAGGAAAAGATGAACTTCGGTTCCACACACGCAATTATGTTTGAGATACTTGTGAAGCATGGTTAGATAGAGACAACTTCTTTGAATGTTATTATTTAGGGACTACCTCAGTGGTGATAGTATTAATGGCTAGCAAACACATCAAGGGCAGTTGGTAATGTAGAATATAGCAGAGAATGCAGGAGATTGCCGGAGACATCAGGTGTTGAATCTGTAATCTTGATCTAAAACTTTTGCTTAGGACATTACACCTATCTATATAGGAAGCACTTGAAAGTTTAAGGGAAAGCTAGCCACCAAACTAGAGCTTAGAAAAAGTTTCCTAGGATCCCAC